TTTAAAAAGAATGCTGTTTTAAAATCTGTTTTTTTTCTCATTATCTTATGCAGGCCAGTTAGTTAAACGTCAGCTTGTTCACCTCAATCAAATTTTTTCAGTCATAGCATCTTGATTCTTATGTCGTAGCTAATATACGCAACGGTTGAAATCAGAGTCATTCCTTTCCCATTGAGTTCCGTCCCAGTGTTCACGGGGATGGACGTCTGTGTCTTCAGCAGGCGTAGAGCTAACAGAACTGGCAGCGTTGCGAGGCAAGGGCTCAAACATGTACGGCTGTAAGCCTTCTACACCAAACCAAGCTTCTGCCGCCCTGGCGTCCTCTTCCACAACACCTTCGTCCCCGCTTTCCTCTAAATAAAAAATGTATGATGGAGGAGACTCATCCATGTCTGAATATGACCAGACTTTTCCTTTAAAATGGTATCTTTTTTAATTAGTTTCCCTTCTGTAGTTTGAGGTCCTCATAATGAGGCTACAACACTCTTCCCTCATTTAAGAGGGAGATGAATGTGCCTGCTTGCAACTACTTCAATAAAACAGTCAGTGTGGAAACTAGTGGAGCGGCGACTGAGGTAAAACTGAAAGGAAAGCAGGAGATAGCTAGATTTGGTACTATGTTTAATCTAGCAATCAATATAATGGTAAAAATCAGATATAACTGGAATCATTAGTCTAAACAAATGGAGGAACTATAAGGGAGTGACATTTATTCCATTTTTGCTGCAAGCAAAAAACAGGTTTTGTAAGTTGAAATTGGATTTTTTTTTTTATTTTGGTTTACACTTTTTTTTTTTTCAAATTTAAATACATTAAAATAATTCTTTGCTTGCAAAAATATTGGAATAAAATTCACTCCGTATATCACCATTCCAGAAGTCTGAAAAACTGACTTTGAAAGTTGTTTTATTAAATGTTTTTTCTACTTGAAAGCAAAAGAGAAAAATGTTAAGAAATAAATGATCTATTTCAACCTCCCCTCGTCCACCTCAGAGATCCACGCCGCCTCATTAATGAGACCTCTTCTGTTCTGACAGTTTCAGTAATAGAAAAGTTTTCCAGACATGGTAGGATTAGGCAGTAGGAAGCTCAGACTTCTCTCTGACCACAAACATAAACCAACCAACTGGTAACACACTAAAAATACATATACTACACTCTTTATTTATTTAAATATATAAATTAATATTATTATAGTATAAATGGCCCTAAGATGACAATATCTCTTATAAATAAGTACATGTTACATCAGGTTAACTTATAGTACATTTATTTATTTCATGGTATATTTACATTTATGTATTTTGATGATTTGGGCCTTCAGACATTTCAGGGATCACCTCAACATGAACATGAAAAACCACCATGTGCTATGGAGTGAATTATTTCCCATTATTGGTGCAAGCAAAGATTGCTTTTTATAACTGGAAATAAATAAAAAATGGAATCCAGAATTGGAGCTTAGAAAAAAATTCTTAAACCGAAAAAGGTTATGAGAGTAACTTTGCTGTTGTCTAAAATTTTATTTTTCAAAATTATACATTTTTTAAAATGTTTTTTTTTTTATAAATTCATTTTCATTATTCATTTTTCAGATTTTAGTTTTTCCAAATCTCTTTTTCCAGATAAAGTTTTAGTAGATAAAAATAATTGCATTATTTTCAAGTTTTTAGAGAACAGATTCTCTTCTCAAAATCTCTTCTTCAAGTCCGATACAAATCCCTCTCTGCTCCTCACTGCAGAGTAGAGCCCACCCCAGAAGTGAAGAGAACATGATTTGTAAAATGCAAAACAATGTAATTTATAAAACACAATCTGAAAAAATAGAAATTTAGAAATAGAAAATAAACAATATTTAAAAATATGAAGAGATAAAATCTAATAAAACAACAGAGTTACTTTCACTTTCAAAATGTGTTACTCTCAAACACATTTTAAAAATTGTATTTCTATTTTATTTGTGTTTTTAATTTCTGTTATCATTTTTTTTAAACATATTCACAAATCGTTTTCCTTGCTTGCAACAACAACGAGAAAAAACTCACTCCTTAGACCACCTGGGTGACTCACGACCTCCCAGGGGACCCCGACCCCCACTTACAGAGCTCCTGCTCTAACCAATCTTAAACAAAGTTGGAATCTGCAAACCTCACCTTAGCAGACTGTAATAATAAATACCTTATATTAGCTTAGCAAAGATGGAAGTACAGTTTTATATTCTGATTAAAAAAAGACATTTCAAGCATCTGATAGTGTGTCTAATCCAAGTTATCATACTGCGAGGAACTCAAACTGCCCATGCCTTGAAGTGTTTCTTAAAGGAGGAAATTATTTCATCTCATTTGTTTAGTAAAGCCATCTTTTATAGTGGAAACGTTATACATTACCATTTCATTTAAAAAAAGGATGGATGTCAATTCTTCCCTTTTCTCATTTAAAACGATGTGCAGGCGACAGCGTAGATAAGTGGGTCACTGAATGTTCAAGTGTTAATCTACGTCAAATAAATGTGGCCTCATTTGTTGCAGTGGTGTTAAAGAAATGTGTCAAACCGTGTTAAAGGAGTAGATTTAGCAACGTTGTCTTGAGCAACCTGCATGCCATAAACACGTCTCTTAGCAGGTTGCATAAAAAGAGAAATATTCACCCTAAAGAACAGCTGGTAGAGCAGGATTTAACCACATGGGTTCAATTTGGCTCAAAAATGTCACAAAGCTGCAAATTATTGCCAAATATGTACACTTTAAATCCTCCATCCTGGCACTGTCTCGTTTTAATAAAACTGCTGCCAACTACAGGTAAGGAGCCAACTACTGACAAATACCTATTATAACCCCACAGCAGCAAATATTTGGATTTTGATTCTGGCTATCCATCCAATAAAATGTAAAAATTACACGTTTTTTTGGCTTTCTTGCTCCCATAGTGGAGTAAATTATCTGTTGCTTAAAAAAAATATAAATATAAATAATAGGTTGCGCAGCAACACAGACGCAGCATCAAACGTAACAAAGATAGTTAATATTGACATTCCACTATGGACATCTTTATTTTTATTTGTTTTAAGAGGGTAAACTCAGCAGAAACAGGTTGGATCTTTATGCTAACTACTAGCACAGCAGTCGAAATGTTTTTCTTCATTTTGTTGCTCTTAAACCCTAAAAGAATCTGGTTTACATGCAGAGGCTGAACAGAAACATGAGGATCACTGCGTTATGAGTCACAATCTATCCAAAAAGCTAACAAACATTTTAAACTGCTGTATATAATGTTTTATGCAGTAGGGGTGAGAATAAGTATCATGATGTGTCATGATACGACTTATCCCAATATTCTGATACAGTAATTCAGTTCATTTGTATATCGCCAATTAAGGAGTCATTAACAGAGACAATATATTGTGATTTTTCTAGTAATATGGCTCTGGAAATCATTGAGAGACCTTGTCTACCCTATAAATTACTGGAAGGCGCTAGAAGACGTCATCGCCTAATTTATATATTTCATTTCATCCAGCTGAAAGCAGAGTTGCTAACTTGGCTCTTTTGTCGCTTCATTTATAAACTTTTCAGACCTCTCTAGTGTCTTTGTTTTAAAAAAGTGCCAAGCGCAAAGTCTAGCAACTTTATTCTATGCCAAGGGAGACTTTGGCAACAACACATAAAAGCACCGAACTCTGTTCTCCTGAGCGAGTGGATCCGTAAACCTGTCTACCGCTCTGGTCCACTGTGGTCATGCAAGGCAGGCTGAAAAAAGGGGCTAGATGTGGCGCTGGGCGCTTTTTTGAAATACTATAGAGAGGTCTAAAAAGTTGCTAAAGATAGAAACAAAAATTCAAAGTAGGCAAAACTGTTGGACGATGTGCTGCGTTTTAATGGCTGGAGATTTAAAGTGATATAAAAGTAAGATAATGAAACTGATGTTTATAAATCTTTTTGTCCATATTTAAGATCCAGTTTGGATTATTTTGAATCATTACCAATATCATCTAATGCAAATCAGGATATTGGTATTTTGAATCGATACTAATATCCTGGAATGAAATATCAGGTAAACTGCTTTATTCTTACACTCTGAGTCTGCAGCCATATTGGATTTTGAACCTAGATCTGGTTTGGATACTTCCAACCTTTCATGTCAAGGATTCTCCTTTAGAAGACGTTCTTCTATTTCCTATTGGGAACTTTTAAAATCCAACATCTGAGTTCAAACAGAATGCAGCTTTAAGCCTTTTTGCTCCTCTGAGGAGTTCATCAGTTTCTCCACAGACATCTGTTGCAAAAAAAGGGAACTAATACGGCTGATAGCTTCAAAATAACCAATTCAATAAATGCATTTTTAAATGAGTCATCACCTGGAAATCTGACTTTTTCAGAACTGTGAATGTAAAATACCAGTTTATCCTAAGAGAAAAGTCATTGCATTTGTAGGAAATAAACAGCTGCATTGATAATGAGGTAACACCTGGCTGCCTAAGGAGGATAAAACCCAATCAGGTGTCTGGGTTATTAAAGAGCAGGTCTGGTAGCACTATTTGGACTGTGTCTCCGAACCTCTCAGGAACAAATAATAGATGATTCCCAGTGAAAAAATGGAAAGGCGGAAAAGTTTCCTCCTCCCACAACGATCTACTATTCATATCTGCTTTCTGTTGCTTTTTTCTGTTCACTTTTTTTTTTTTCGTCATAGTTTACATAACAAAAGTATGAACCAGACAGTAAAGAAGCTTAAACACTACTCTTGTAAACACGTATCCACTACTTCCTTTCTGATTTATCCCTACATTTCATCTTGGGCGGGAGGGCGGGTTTCCGATTGCTTAATCCATCTTGTGCAAGATAGATGCTTCGGGAGGAGGCACTGTGCAAGAAGCTTTCACAGCTCATCCAATCGTGACCAAAGCTCCTCTAAGCCTGGTTTGAAGACTTTTCTATCAAATTTCTTTTTCTGCTTGACACTTATTTCACCAGGAGGCATTTAAGTCCATACACCACCACCGATAGGTTTGTCATAAATCCTTAAACCTAATTTTTACTCCTTTTTTACATTAAATATAAATCTGTTAAACCTAATAAATAAATATTTATATATATATTTATATATATTTTACATCGTTGTTGAGGTCCAGCTCCTAATGATGATATATATCCAAACATCCAGACAGGTGCAGGGTATAAAAATAGGAAAAATGACAAATCCCCACGCTTTCTCCAGGCTGAATGGATCCCGAGGCAGTGGCAGACCTTTACAATCAGATGAGTCGATATAAAACAGGAAGAGGACAGAGGGGTACTCCAAAGTGCAGACGCTCTTTCTTAAAGGTGAGTCAGCTCGTTTTAATTTATAAGGATTTGTTTCCATGCCTGTGGTCCCTCGGCGAGAGCAAAACGAATGCACTGCGAATGTGTTCCTCCAGGATCCACCTTTGATGGATGAGCAAATTTTACTGTTGTATCCATGTTAGAGGAAACACTGCCAGATCTAGCCTCCTTTGGTCACCATTGTGTCTTTGGACAGGTACACCACCCAGTAGACCATGTTAAATGCACCAAAGGACACTGGAAACAGGATCCGTGCGTATTTGTCAATTTTACTGGTTCCACCCATGCCAGCAGTGGTTGGCTGAGAGCATGGCGTCTGCTTCGGCTCCAGTTTGTTCCCCATCATCTGGATGCGCTCCAACTTGGGCCCCAGAAGTTGTTGCAGAGATGCGGGGCCATCGGCTTGCCTGCTAGGTGTCCCACCCATCACGTCGGGGGTGGAGGCTGCGGGTTGAGGTGTACCCTTCACCAGCTGGGCGGAGGAGGAAGCCACGCTCAGCAGGCTCTCAGACTTGGGGCTGGAGCGGGACAGAGTGGAGGAGCTGCCATTGGCTCCGCCGGCTAAAGGTCTGAGCTGCCTTCCTCTCCCCAGTCCTGAAATGTTGGTGGTGGACTGGGCTCTCAGCTGACTGGTTGGATCTTGGTGGGAAATGTTATTCATTCTCTTTCTCAAGGAGCCGTTGGTGCCGGGAATCTGCTGTGAAAGACGAGAGAAAGATAGGCTTAGGTTGAGGTGAACAGAATATTTTCAAAGCCAAGCTTTATTAGCAGAGCTAATGATCTATCTTCAGGTAACACAGAGTACATGTCAGACTTAATAATATTACTTTAGCGATAGTTTCAAGGTGTTGCTTTATTGTATATCTCGTACCATGTCTTTCGGTTGTGCTGTTCTTTTTTCATCTCGTTACAGGTGATGAAGCAGACTGAAAATGTTTTGTCATTGTCTCCTTTCTATCTCCTCTTTCTTTCATCTTTTCTCTTTTTTTCTCTTTTTTCCTTTTCTTCTTCTGTTTTTCTGCTCTATTTACATTGCAGTGTCCATATAAACTGTAAAACTCCCTGCATAATTATAATAAAGCAATTTATATGCATGAAACAAGCATGGAGCTATATGGCAATTGCCATACTGCTCCACTTGTGAAAGTAAAAGCTGTTGGGCTCTTTTTGGCATCAAGACAATTATTCCTATTGCCACATTGCCAGACATGACACTGTTAAAAAAAAAAAAAAAAAAAAAAAAAAAAAGAAGAGCTAATAATACCAATAATCCCATAATGCAGACAGACAAAAGGAAAAAATTGGTTGTGAAATCTTGTGTTGCACCAAAACTTTGTTTCGCTGCTGTAAATCCTTATTTGGAGTTTTTGCAATGTTTTCTAACCATGCAAAATCCAGGTCGTGTTTCTCTTATCTACATTACAAAGGAGTCTCATGTGTCTGAGTGTTTCACACTTAGATACAAAAACCTCAAACTTATTTTTCTCTTATTGGGGATTATATGTGGTTCTATGGAGGACCACTGTTTCCTCCCACAGTCTGAATACCAGTGGTGATAGTCTGCACTGAAGCTTTAATACATGCTGCAAACCTGTAGCACAGAACCACTGTTACAACGCTTCCTTCAGAGAGTAAGAAATCATGTGACCAATGACGTCCGAAGCACTGACTGATTTGCTTCCTGGATGAATATCCTGACTAGTTCGGATAAGTGTTCCCCACCCCATTTTCAACCTCTGCCATTCTTTCACAAGCACACCCAATGCGTGCTATATTTTCCCAAGACTCTGTTTGGTAACACCAAAACATGTTAATCAACCTTTATTAACAAATACAACATGATATACTGTACTGTGTGGGTGCCAGCGTATTTTTAAAACAAACCTAGTATGAAAACAGGAGGGATAAATACAACATTTATTTTGCACCAAGGGGGATTTTAACATTTAAACTTTGGTGATCTACACACGAAATGAAATGCAAACAGTTTCACTGGGGAATCCCTGACTATTAGTAGTGATGCATATTATACAGTGTACCATGTCCCTCTGTGCAATCCTTCTGTCCTAAACAAGACTGAAGCTTCAACTTTTCCATAAAGTTTGCACATAAATAGCAAATCCATCACAAAAAAAATTAAAAGAGAGGGATGATGTTTTCTCCTGTTTTAGCTTCCTTTGCTTTTGGCTCCCTGTTAAATTCAGAGTAGAATTTAAAATCCTCCTTCTCACATATAAAGCCTTAAATGGCCAAGCTCCATCTGATATCAGAGATCTGATTGTTCCGTATGTTCCTAACAGAGCACTTCGCTCTCAATCTGCAGGTTTACTAGTGGTTCCTAGAATTTCTAAAAGTAGAATGGGAGGCAGATCTTTTAGTTATCAGGCTCCTCTCCTGTGGAACCAACTACCAGTTTTAGTCCGTGAGGCAGACACCCTGTCTACTTATAAGGGTAGGTTTAAAACTTTCCTTTTTGTTAAAGCTTATAGTTAGAGTTGCTCAGGTTATCCTGAGCTATCTCTATAGTTATGCTGCTATAGGCTTAGACTGCTGGAGGACATAGGGACCTATTTTGCTCATTCTAATTCATTCTATTGTAGCTCTATTCTCCAACTTTGCAATATTTATGATGATCTTGGCATCAGCAGCCGCTCCTGTATTAAATAAACACTGAATTATTCCACTGTCTTTCTCACCTTGAATACTGGGTTATTCTTTCCTGCTTAATGACTATATTTGTTATTTAACCCCTTATCATTATGCTGGCTGCTTTTTTTCATCATAGTAGCTTCATCTGGTCTGTTCCTGTATGGCTGAGACTCCATCCTGGAGGGGAAATATCACCTACTGGAGAGTGGTGGCCTAGTGGTTAGAGCATTGCACTCAAAGGTTCTGAGTTCAAGCCCCACTCCCACAGACTGCCACTCTGGGTCCCTGAGCAAGAGCCTGTTTGTTTCCTAGACAGCCAGCTGTGGAGCTGTAAAACAGTTAATTTTTCTAAATGAATGTATTTTTAGGTCCGATCTCACACTTAGCCGTTTTTTCTGAAGATTACTTCCTGTTAAAAGGGAGCTTTTCCACTTTTTCTGCATGCATGCCAGTATGAGATATTGCTGTATAGTCAAGCACACATTGGTGTAACCGCATGCTCATTGAGAAGGATAGAATCCTTCAAAGTCAATGACTTAATGCAATCAGATGGGTTTCCCTGATAGAACACTTTTTAACCAATCTGACTGGATGATCTGACTGAATTGTTCCTGTAAGAGTGCCTTGAGATTACATGTGGTGAATTGGTGCTAAAAATTAACTGAATTAAAAACTGAATATCGTTTGTTGTAGATTTATTGAAGGAGCAGGCACAGAAGCATAAAACACAAAAGGAACATATGGGAGGCAATGTAGACAATCCAGCCGTCAGTGGCTGATGGGAACCTCCTTAAATATTAGGGAGGAGAAGAATCATGTGTTGGGATCCTGCAGCTGCCTCCTCCAAAGGCCAGATTCGTCGGCCGATTATGCCATAATGCAGCGCCGTGGCCTGTTTGGATTCTCAAACTATGCAGCTGATAAATGCTGCTCTTTTTCGCCTGGTTAGAAGGACAGTTCTGATGTATATTGCTTAGCTTCGGTGCTGAAGTTACACCCCTGCGAGAATATTTAACGCTAAATAGCAACCAAGTTCTCCCAGAGAAGTCTGTGCTTGCTGGACGGAGTGAGACTACCTATTCTATGATTCAGAAGGAGCTGATCGTATTGAGCGTCTTTTCCTATGATTCAAATGGAGTTGAACATAGTGTTTTATGAACCCACCTACTGAAGCAGATGAGAAAGAGCTATCCAGCTCAGGTTGACCTACACCTAACTGCATATGGAACAGTGGGGCCCAATTACTGTTTGCTGAGGAGCCGTGTGAAGCCGCTGACCCGTAGCATACTGGTCCTGCTGCTGCCTGAGATGCGCCGCTTGCTTAAGCCACCACCGTTGCCTGCCCTCAGCTGCCACTACCTGAGCTGAGGCTACCAGCTCACTGCCATATTTAAAAGGGAGATGAAATAAAGTCCTGCAAAGTTGCATCTTCTTATTGTATCAGTTTATTCCAATTTTTTTGAGAGCTGCTGTTGGACGAACGGACTGTACCGAAGGAGTTCGAGCCACCAAACCAGCTGGAAAGCCCCTATCATTCTACTGAGCCAAAACAGTAACATCCATCCTTCCCTCGATCCATCAGATGCTTAATAAGTGCTATTCTTTGATGTACAGCGTAGAATAGATAGTTATGTTTGTGTTTTATCTGAAAGAAGCTTTCTGATTTAGGGGTTTTAAATGAATGCCAATGTTCACTGAGCAGACTGGGGGTTACCATCTTTTTCTGTAAGGACTATGACAGTGGACTGGCTACCGTTGTTATGTCCCAGCTACCTCATGCCAAGCCACATTGTAGAGGTCATGTTGTCAGCTCTAACTTTTCGTTGTTTAAGCTGGACCCAACAAACCTGACCTCTGGGGAGCAGCTAAACTATCCCATTCTCTTCTTCATTGCAAATTGATGAAATCCTGACTCATTGTTCATTTTTCATTGTAAAACCAAATGAAACTCACTGTTTGGACTGCATTTAATATCTCTGCATCAGGGCTTATTCACATTTATCTTCTGCTATATTTAAAAGACACCTGAAATGCATTAAGCTTTAAAAGTTGAACATTCCTCAGAGACTCTTAGACATACTTTTAAACTCTCTTTTTCCCTTTTTATTATTATTATTAGTACTGTTTCGTGTCTGCTTATGTCATGATCTATCCTGATTGCTGGCCTTAACTGTTCATGTCATTCACCTACTTTATTCTGCCTGGCTCCTAATCATCTCTCATCCTATCCTCCTGTGTTTTTGCTTTATATTCGATTCAGTCCAGCTATCGACTCGGAACGTGGGGAGCATCAGTTTTCAAGCCTGGCTGCAAGGAGGAGACGAGTTTAA